GGAGGTTTGGAGCCGCCTGGAACTGAGCAGAGCACAGAGCCCTGAGCCTGGGCAGGCAGTGCTGGGGCAGCGCTGGCTGTAGCTCCTCGGGGGGCAGGCACCTGTGCACGCAGTGAGCTGCTGTGATGATCCACTCCCGAGCCAGCACGGAGCCCCCACAGCGGTGCTGGGAGCCGTGGTACACACTGACCTGCCAGGGCCAGCGCCCCGGGGGCACATCCAGCCCCCCGACCACCCGCACGGTGCCAGGGCACAGCCCACACTCTGCGGGGCACGGGTTAGGGGCTCCAGCCCCTCCAGCAGGAGGTGGGGGAAGGAGGTGGAAGGGGAGGAAAGATGCTGCTGGAGGCAGGCAGAGATCCGGGGGATGTAGGAGAGGGGAGCATCGCTCACCTGAGCATTTCAGAGCCACCACTCGACCTGATTCGCAGCTGCTCCTGCGTGAGAATGAGCCCCTGGTCAGAACACACGTGGAACAAAACCTCTGGGGCACTGCAGAGCCCCCAGAGGGACCTGCACAGTTTTCTATGTTCTCAAGCCTGGAAGAAAGGCTTCAGCAAGCTCTGCTGCCCCCAGAGCTGCCCTTACCTGACCTGCCACATGTCCTCCAGGCTGCCTTCCTGCTGGGGCCTCACCTGCAGGAACTGCTGAGCCTCATTCAGCCTGAGCTCAGTCAGGTTCACTCCCTTCTGATGGGTCATCCTGCAGAAGCAACGGGAAATATCCCAGAGAGGAGATCAGGGAACATGGGCACAATGCTCTGCTGCTCTGGCAGCTGGGAATGAACCTCTGGGCAGGAAGGATCTCCTGGGGCTGATCTCACAGCTCCCCATGCCATCCTGAGCCCCAGTTTCCACCTGCATTCCCCAGGGAGCTGTGTGACCTGGCTCTGCTGCCCTGGCAGCCCTCAAGCTCCTGCTTTTGCCAGGATCATCCCCCTTGGAAAAGGGCAAATAGGGCCAGAGCAGATTTCTTTGCTGTGCCCACCTGAGGTGCCCGAGCTGCCTGCAGAGCAGAGTGCCCAGGGAGCCACTCCAGTGCTCGTGGCACACCAGGAGCCAGCCAGGATGTCCTTCCACCTGTGCTTCCAGCAAGGAGTTTGCCACATTTATTCTGAAAGACACTAAAGCCATTCCATTAAAGAGAGCCTGCAGTTCCTTCCCTTGCAGTGCTCAGTGCAGGGTCACACAGCTAAAGCCAGAGAAACCCATCCAAAAGCCCCAGGAAAAGCCATTTGAAAGATTAGGAGCTGTGAACAAACCCAGTCACAGAGTGGTGACAGGCCAAGGAGCCCTGCAAGAGCTGCCTTTGCTGTGGGATCCCTCCAGGCAGTGCTGGGGAAGCAGCAAGACTTAAAGCACAGCAATGGCTAAATGCAGCTGGGAAAAGGGAGTGGGGCAGCAGGAGGTGTTTTCTGTTGAAGTGGATGTCTCTTGTCTGTCCTCGCTGGGCTTGGCAGGCAGCTCTGCACCCTGAGCCCTCTCCCCACCCTCTGTGCAGCAAGCAAAGGTGCAAACCTCTATTGGGAGCCCCACGGACCACAGGCTCTTCCTCCTCTCCATCACTGCACCCTGGGATGGCATCCTGCTCCAGTGGGGGAGGAAAGCCTTGGGCTGGCTGAGGCTCCTTCAGGTGTTTCACTTCAGGAAACAAAGAAGGGGGTGGAGATGGACTCACACAGCCTGGGCAGAGCCCGAGGATGCATTAAACTGGGGACAATCCTGCACTGCTCACTGGGAGAGGTGATGAGCCTCTCTGGGACCACAGCAACCAGCAGAGCCCACACCAACTGCATCCCCCATCCCAAGCCACAGCTCAGAGACCAAGGAGCTCTCACCACCACCACCTGCACTGCTGACACCCCAAATTCACTCTCCAGTGTGGCAGGGGCTGCCCCAGAGAGGCACTGACCTAGGAGCCATGTCCCAGCTGCCATCCCTGCCAGCAGCCCAGCGACCCCCAGCAGCAGGAACAGCCTCCTGACGGTGCAGACAGTCCCAAAAGATGCATTGGCAGAACCTTTAACAGAGGGAGAGAGGATTAACATGGTTTTTCCATCTCTCATAGCTCTCCCAAGCCCCTGGTGAAACCCCTGGGTCATTGTGCACCAGTTTCTAGGGCTCACCTGCTCCATTCCAGGAGCTGTGGATTCTGTGAGACGTCAAGACTCAGAGGCCACCCCTGTTCCCAAAGCCCACAAAGAGCTCACCCACCGTGTGCTGAGCAGGTCTGTGTGCTCTGTGCCTCCCTCCTTGGCTCACTCCTGGGGCTGTGCACAGCATCCTCGGGGTGGGTTAGGCTGTCAGGAGGCCACTCGGGGAAGGATGTGCTCTAGGGAGAGAGCAGGGGCAGATCAGCAGCACAGGTTGGGTGCTGTGGAAGGGCCAAGCCGTGGCAGCAATGCTCACCATGCCAGCGAGGAGCAGAGCTGTGGAGCTGAGCAGAGATCCCTGGAGGAGCAGCTCAGGTTTCCCCACTCTCTGCACAGGCTGTGCATGCGCAGCACCCGCGGCTGGGAAGGGATTCCTTGTTCAGGACCCTTCTCCTTTTACAGGGCTGGGGGTGATCACCCTCCTGCTTCCCTCCCACCCCCTCCATCCCCAGCTCCTGGGAGTGCTGCTCAGGCTGGGGACCCCCTTGGGAATGCTGCTGTCCCTCCCTGGTGCCTCTCTGAGCTAGAGCAGCAGCTGTTGAGCTGCTTCAGCTTTCAAACCTATCTCCCACCTGCTGCCCCACCTTCCTCCTCCCATCACCTGCCAAATGAGAAGCCCCAGGAGCTGCTGAGGGGCAGCAGCACTGCCTGAGCTGTCAGTGTGAGCTGCAGCTCCAGCCAGCCCTGCCCCTGGTGGGCTCAGAGGACCTTCAGGAGCAAAACATCCTCAGCCAGGGGAAGATCAGGAAGGAGCCTGGAGCTGCTTTTGTCACCCCAATATCTCCAGCCAAGTGCCTGCCAGCTGGGACGTGTGAAGGACAATTTTCCTGCCCACAAGCTGCAGGAGGGATGTGCTGGTGAGGACTGGTGAGCTCCTGTCACTCAGCAAGGTCCTCCTCACCCTGTGTGCCCAGAGACTCCCAGGGAAACAGGGACAAACACACCTCCCCAGGTGCTGGAGTTTCCCTGTGGCCTTTTGGCTGTAGCACACAAAGAGCAGCAAAGGTCAGATATCCCTCTCAGCTCAGTTTATGATTTCCCATGGGATTTCTTGTTGCTGAGAGATGCTGCTGCCCTGTGAGACAGGAGGAGTTTCTAACCCATGGCTTGGGCACTGCCTGGGCCATGAGATGCTTTTCTTACAGTGCAGAGCTCTCGTGGAACAGAAATCACTTGTGATGCTGCTGCATCCCCTCACCCTCCTCTGACCCAGTGGGTGCTCCACTGCAGTCATTGCCCCGAGGTCAGTGGGTGCTGCCAGTGCCCAAAACAAGAGCTGAACAGAGAGAGATAGATGTCTCATGGAAGATGTCTCAGCCAGAAGGTGATGGCTAAGGCTACAAATATCCCCCAGCTCACACCGTGCCCAGTGACTGACTCTTCCCTGGCCGTGGCTGTGCGGTACCCGCTGGCACTGGAGCATCTCCTCAGGCTGGGAAGGACTGTAGGTGGTGCTGGAGCACCAGTGGGAAGGGAGAGAACAGCCGAGGCACAGAAACCAACCTGAGCATCCTTCGCTGGCAGCTGTTCTGGGCACTGAGGAGGGGAAGGACTCACCCTGACCAGGGTCTCTGCAGCAGCAGTGCAGGTCATCTCCCCTCGGAGCATCCTGTGTGGCCACAGCTGCCTGAAAAACAACCTTAGCAGAAGCCAAATGAAGATGCAAAAGTTAAAGGAAGACGTGAGCTCAGCCAGCAAAACAAACACCTTCACTGCAACAAAACACAGTGAGCAAGGATCAGTCCATGCAGGGAAACCATGAACCAGAGCAGATTCCAAGAGGCTGCATCAGGAGCAGGTGGAAAACAAGACACATCAGTCAGGCTGCAGTGCCTCACTGCTCTGAGTCACACTCACTTTGCCTTTTAAAACTCATTAAAAGAAGATCAATATTTCTCCCCATTCTGCTTGCTGCAATGAGAAAACAGTGACTGAAGTGAGAGCCTTCCAAATGAAACATTGGCACGCAGATGGAACAGGGAGGAGGGAGAACAGAAGTGTAGCTTTTTCCTCCCAGTTTTCATCATTTTCCCCTGGTTCCTCAGAAAAATCAGCCAAAGGAGAAGCAGCAGAGACCCAGACCCTGAGAGCTGTGGCACAGGGATACCTGCCAGCTGCAGGAGATGCTGTCACTCCTCTCAGCTGTTCCCATTGGAACAAGGTTCCCTTTCCCCTGGGAGCAGTGCAGAGCTGCAGTGACCAGACAGATGTTGATTCAGGTGACCCCAGAGCTGACACAGCTGTGGCTGTGCAGAGCAGAGTGTGGGTTCAGGTCCCCACCCTGGACCTTTTATCTCAAGGAGGTGTTTTAGCCCCTTTTCCTGCACTCCTATCCATGCTGGCACAGCTGGACAGTCCCAGGGGGAGCAAACAGCTTTTCAGGGAGGTCCCTCATCATGGATAATAGGCCTGGGCTGTGCTTCCCCAGCAGTGATGCTGAGGGCAAAAGAAAATAAAATCATTTAGAAATCAGCAATAAGCTCCCAACAACCTCCCAGACCCTCTGAGCTCTGGCAGGGCATGCACTGACCTGAGAGAAGTGAGTTTATACCCAGTCTAATGGGCTCATGACCAGCATTCCCACTGGGTCCCAGGACACAGCCCCATCCTGGGGCAGTCCCTCCTGGATTTTTCTGCTCCACCTCCCACTGCAGCAGACACAGAGCAGAGCTCATGCAGCATCCACTGCCCTGTTCCAGCCTCTTTCCCGAGGCAATTTGCTGTGTAATGATTATGGAGTTGAGAAGGCAATTTCAGGAAAACCAGTTTCTCTCTGGAAGGAATTGAATAGAGGAACTATTAGAACCTGATCCAGTCATTGATTTAAGCAGCAGCTGCACCATGTGAAGTGAGCAGAGACAATTTAAAGGCAATTCTCTGCAGGGACTGTACCAACCTCCCCAGCTCTGGGCACGGGCACAAGTCCTGCCTCAAACCCTGCAGGACCCAGGGGCTCTTGCTCCAAAGAAGCAAATACCAGGACCTTTAAGGGGAAGGGTAACAATTCAAGGTCCTATGAACACACATTTGCCCTCACCATCCTCCCAGGTCATAGGGAACACAAGGTCTCACTCCTGACTCTCATTTCCTTCAGACACCTTGTGCTTCCCAGGTAGAACAGACATCCTGCTGGATAGAAACCAAAAGGCCAGAGACCAAAGGAAATGAAAGCCTGGAAAAAAACCATTCCAGCACAGAAACACATTTCTGCAGCAGTTTGCTCCAGAGGAGCAGAGAGCAATGTCCTGACTCCATCACTTTGCTGGGAAAGCCTCAGTGCATTTCCATCTCCTGAGCATTTCCATGCCCTGCACCTTCCAGCCCCTGTCTGCACCCTCAGTGGGACTGTGACTGTCAGTTGCTGTCATGTGTTTGTGCTTCTCCAGAGGGTGGAGAGCCAAAAGAGGATTCTCATCTATCACCTAATAAATGTAGGATCTAAGGATGTCAGGGATAAAATGTTTTCATTATCTGTATCATGTTCCAGCACAAAGCTGTCCCGAGGGAGTTCCTCTTGGAGATGAGTCAAAGAAGAACTGTTAAGGAGCAATTAATAGTGTGCTCTTCCCTTCCCATTTCCAAACACAGCTCATTCTGTCACTTGTTGGCTAACTCTGTGCCCTTGTCAAATTGCTGAGGACCTAAATCCCAGGAGGGGAAAAGGGAAAGACCTTTGGGAGCCTGGAGATGTTCCTGCATCACCCACACACCCTGCACTGAGCCACAGCCTGGTGCAGCTGCAGGGAAGTTGTCTAGGGTGGCACTTAGCAGCAGGACAGAGACGGGAGCAATGTGGGAGCACAGGGACAGGAGCAGAGACAGGCTGTGACCTGGGCTGGCCTCACATCCCAGCCCAGACAGGGCTGGACGTGGGCTGTGAGATACAGCAACCACTTGCTCTCTCCTGGCAGCTCGGATGAAGTCAGAGCTGATGTCATGCTGGCTGAGGGGCTGGCAGCTCTCTGCACCAGCTCAGCACCA